TTTATGAGGGGCGGTGGGGGGCCATGGAGGGGTTGGCTAAAGAAACCTTAAAGTTTTGCGGTCTCAACCCCCAAAATTCCCCCACCCAGCATGGGGGCTGGGGAATTCTGGGAGTTGAAGACCGCACATCTTAGAGCTTTCTTAAGCCACTCTCTCAGGGTCCCCAATCTGCCCTTAATAGATCGAACTGCTTGTAAAATTCTTAGGAACAAGTTCACAAAAAAATTGCTTCTAACTTTCGTGTCAATTATCTTCACTCTCAGCCATCCCGAGCATTTTAAATAAGTAACTCCTTCAGCAATAAGCAGAATTTCTTTAAATCTCTGCAGTTGCTGACGTCTCTCAAGGCAGTGAAAAAAAAAAAGTTCGTTTGAGAAGCACTTCTGACTTCTCAAGGATCCCGTAGAGAAGTGGGCGGGGCGGAGCGCGTGAATCGCAGATAGCGATGCGTTGCTAAGAGACCGAGGGACGCGGTGGCGCGCGGGGCTTGAAGTTGCTCCTCGCGTAGCGGAGAGCCAGTCCCGGAGCGCCTCGGAAGCGAGCTGGAGGGAAGCCAGATTGGTACCGGCGCAGGAGCGAGTGGAGACGGTGCTGGAATAGCCTTCGCGGGGCGGGTGGGAAGGAAGAAGGCACCGAAGAGAGCGGCAGCAGAGCTGATGAGGCATCAGGTTGGGAGCGTGTCGTATTGGTTCAGTCTGGTTTTGCAGGTAACATCCATGTGTATGTGAGAGAGAAGATTTTATATATATGTGTGTGTGTGCGCGCGCACACACACATTTACACACACATGTACACATGTGTCTATATATATACACACACACACACCTACACACATATATACATATATACACACGTGTGTGTACGTATGAAGATAGATCTGTCTTCATACGTACACACGCACATATATACATATATATGTTTGTATATATTATGTATTTATATTTATATTTACACACACACACACATGTATATATATACACACACCTACATACACACATATATACATATATACACATATATATGTGTATGTATGAAGATAGATCTATCTTCATACACACACACATATATACATATATATGTCTGTGTGTATGTATTATGTATTTATATTTATATTTACACAGACATACACGTGTGTGTGTATATATATATACACACATATATACATGTACACACACATGTATGTGTGTGTGTGTGTATGTATGAAGATAGATCTATCTTCATACATACACCACACACACACACAAGCTTATAGCTGATCCTCAAATAAGTTCCAGTAACAAACCCAAATGTTTGATGGTATGATTCAAGCTTTGAAAAATTTGTTATGGCTTTGCCACTGGACAGTATACTTCTCATCCTCCTATGTATGGTTATCAGTCATCAACAGACACAGGGAGATAAACCACATTTACACACCATTCAAAAGAGACAAT